GCGGGACGTGCCGGCGTGCCTCATCTGGCACGGATTTAGCGGTGGATTTGCGCTCGCCCGTGCGGTCGCTCGTTTCTCATGGCGGGGGCCACCCGGCCGCCCCCGACTCCTCGCCGTGCCGCGCCGTGCCACTCGATCCGCGGATACGCGCCCACGTTCCCCTCTGCCGGGAAGCGGCCTCGCCCAGAGCCCACTTGATCCCCGGTGCCGGCCTCCGCTTTGTACGGCGCTTCACGTGGCGCGTAACGCTGCTTGGCTCGTCCCGGCCGCGGCGCGACAGGGCGTTCTCGCGGTGTGACGCGAGGGCGACACGGGGGCGACGTGGGAACGGCCGGCGCTTCACCTGGGTCGTCCTCTGCGCATCTCGCTCCGTCACCGTGCGGGTGCGTGCCGGAACGCGCATTCGGATCGTGTTTAACGAGCAGTCGAGGCTCTGCAAAAGTGAATAAGAATCACATAATGTTTGTTGAATCTGCCAGCCTGCAGGCCATTCTGCACCAAGGCTCTCCAGTGGCACTTTGTTTAAGCGGGGCAAATTCCAGACTGGCTTCGACTTCTCCGAAGCTCATCAGCAAGTTGCGGCCTGTTTATCAAATGCCACTGCGATGCCTGGTGTTGCAGGCCACGGTGTTCTGTGCGAGAAATGGAGATGTGTGGTAGGAGCCACGTAGGCTGATGGACAACGATGTCAACGGACATAGAAACAAAAACGTCGATGTGTTTGTCTCACCATTGACCACATGATACAATTAACGCAGTAGCAAAGGTCGACGGGTCACGGACCATCTCAATTTACATCGTCCACCTTGACACTGAGCGGGCGTCGTAAGAACCGGCGAACGCCGCTATGTCACGCGGCGCAATGTTTACCATCGCAAGTTCGCGAGAATCGCTCGGTCAGCACGGAACCGTCCTTGCGCCTGCACCTGTTCGCTGGCTCTCGCCCACATTCCCACACAATCTCTCGCGCCCACACGTCGCCCGGGATTTCAAGCTGCTTCCCAGCTCCCCCGACGCTCCCGTCCGTGCCAAACGGGCCATCTGACAAATGCCTGGGGCTCACCAACCACCCACCCACCCCCCACCACCACCGCCAACTCGCTCATCCGCTGATCCACTCGCCCGCACCCCCACCCCCGTGCCGACACCTCAAAGCCCAGCTGGTGCGAAAGCGCCGTGCCGCCGCGTGCCAAGGTGCCGGGGTCAGAGGGCGTGGGTCGGCATCGGAATCGGCTTGGTCACACATGCCACGCTGGCAGGTGTGACGAGGAGAGATCATCGGCACCGTCATTGCCGCCGCCGTCGCCCCTACCGCCGTCGCTCGCATCGTCTCTCGCATCGTCGCTTACATCGTCGCTCGCATTGCCACTCACGCCGCCGCCGTCACCGCTGCCGCCGCCGGGCGGGCGATGTGAGTCGTCCAGCCTTGGCCTTCACGCTGGGACAAACCGCGCCTCCTGCCCTCGCCCCGGCTTTTGGAATTAGGTGCGGATTTTTTCCGGGGTTTGAGTGAAATATTTATTTTTATATTTTCTAGCCCTTTCCACCTCCCGTTCTTGTTTTTCGTTTTAAGCCCATTTGCGCTAAATTCGCTGCGTTGGGCTCAGAGCTCGCGCGCGTGGCGCTCCTTGGGTGTGGAGAGCGAGAAACATTACCCGGTTCAAAAATATCGATTTGGTGTTTTTTGGCTGCCGCTTTGCCAGGGGGAGGGGGGGGGGAAGGTCACCCACACTCCCACAGAGAAAAACCCAACACGCCAACACCGTAGCCTCCCGTGACGTGCAATCTGAAGGGCAATATTTAGCTTCAATAAATCTGAATTATTGGCATATCACAGGAAAATCTGTGTATCGACGTCTAAAGTCAACCAGATGTGCAATGTGATACTGACATTGCCGTGTAGCGCTTATACATTCCATATTTCTGTGACATCGGAGAGCGGGCGTCCCTATAGCCGTTCCAGATGGGACTGGGCCTGAGCCAGAAGTTTAACGGTGGGAGGGGAAGAAACTCCACAGAAGGAATTTACTACGAAACATTAAAGATGTTTTCGCTCGTACACGCACGATACCATATCTGCAGCTGCCCGCCGATTTGTTCGCGGGATTACCGAAGCGTCGTGAAGTGGACCCAACGGGCACCCCGACGCCGCTCGCAAAGAGGGGGGATCCGTGCCGCGGTGGTGCAGCAGTGACCGTCAGTCGACCGCAGCTCTCCCAGCGTGACGAGGGCGCCCTCACCGTGAGAACAAACAAACTCACTCTAGATTGGAAAACTCACCTTGCGAGCCGAGTGGCACAACGGTCCCACGGGAGCAACGCTTCCCGGCGGTGTTTTGACCGGGAAGGAAAACTGCAGGCTGGTTTAGATTTCTCTGGGCCTGGGCAGCGGAATGTGGGCAGTTAAGCCAACGCTGCCAGGCTGCCCGATGTCGCAGGAGAGATCCCTCCCACTGGCACCGCGGGGCCCGTTCATTGCAGAACAGGAACATGGTCCAAAATGTTGAACTAAACTTACTCTTCTTTTACCTGACCTGGTTAAGTGCACGATTCGTCTATAAGATATAACATGCCATTTACCATTTAGTGGCATTCAAATAGTAAATGAATTGTCAGGTTTGTTAGACATTTTAAATAATCGAAATTGATCGTCCATTGTCAATCCACTGCTGGATGTAGGCCTCGCCTGACTGTGCTAGTCGTTCGGGTTGTTTGACCATACTTCACCACACTGGTCCGTGCTTGCTGGCGAAGTGGGGGCGGGGGGGGGGGTGCAGGGGATGTCACGAGAGGCCGTACCACTCGCCGCGGTGAATACAAAACACTCGGTTCTTGGATGGAATCGCGACAAATCATCGTGAGCAGGTGTTGCGAGCGAGCGGTGTTGCGAGCCAGCGTTGTTGCGAGCGAGTGGGTGTGCACCGGTGCACTGTAGGAATTGGGAGATGATCAAAGAAAAGTTTTGCTCCGTGACCTCTGCTCTGCAAATTAAAAGATGAAAATACACTCGAGAGGAGCACAGCCCCGGAGAGTTATTCATAGGTGCATTTTATTATTTTTTTGGTCTTCGTCGTCTTATTACCGATTAGATCTTGATGTAAATCAGTCCTGACAGCTTAGTGCGGTTGTGACACCGATCGCCACGGAAGGGACAATAATGTTTAATTCAGAAGGAAGGCTTCCGAGCGCGAGTTCTCCACCACCATATGTCCGTCAGCCAATCACGAGCCGCCTCCTCATCATCATTATTATTATTATTCATGGAGAGGCCCTCTCTCTCTCGCTGTCTCTTGAGCGAGCGAGCGAGCGAGCACGCCGCTCCCTCCCTCCCTCCCGCTCGCTCTCTCTCCCTTGCCCCGCCAGCTGTGTGCCTCTCTCCTCCTCCTCCGCCGCGATGCCCGTCGCAGCGTGGCCGGGCGTGGGCGCGGGCTGCCGGGCCTGCAGAGCCCAGCTGAGAGATACTTCACTCTCCATTTGCATCCAATTATTGTGATGAAGCCAGCCCATTAGCGGGTGTCAGGACCGATTTGCTGTGACACACCTTCCTGCGGCACCCCGACGCGCCCAGCCCCGCCGTCACGTGGTCACGGCGCCGCCTAATTTGTTCCATTCGACGGTTTTCCCCTTCCCGATGATTAACGCTCCGAATTGAATTCCGCTTTCCCTTTGTGGGCAGGGGGGGGGTAGGACCTCCGCAAGGATGACGCTAATCACACGGTTCACCTTTAATGTGCCGGGATCTTTCGTTTCTCTCTCGCTCCTTCCTCTTATTTAGCGACGAAGGAGATGCTGCAAGGGGGATATTTAACCGTTTAGATTTACCCCCTAATGAGGGTGCTAACCTCTGGTTAGCCCGCGATGCGCACTGAATATGCGGCCGAGACCCAGCGACAGTATTCAGGTCACACCTCCTGCTGCCGCTCGGCGCTCCGCTATGGTAATGCTGCCAGCAGCGTGAAAAAGTAAATAAGCATATATATGACATTTTTCCATTTCCATGTTATTTTGTGCTTGGTGGGAAAAACAATCTCTTTGCAATTTAGCGGTAACAGATGCCGCGCGGTACACGTGTAGGGTGACTTTCTGGGGTCACATCGAGAAGGAGGAGGCGGAGGAGGAGGCGGCGTGCAGGGCCGGCTCGCCCAAAATTTGCCGTTGAGATTTGGGCACTTTGTGCGGAACGGTTTTAAAACGGACCGCGTCGCGCCGGTCAGAGCCCCTTAAACAAGTCTGAATCAAGGGAGGTTCGTTCCACCCCACAGTCCACCCTGCCAGGCTAACCCCACCAGGTCCACCCCACCAAGTCCACCCCGCCAGGTCCACCCCGCCAGGTCCGCCCAGCGAGGTCCACCCCACCAGGTCCACCCCGCCAGGTCAACCCCACCAGGTCCACCCCACCAGGTCCACCCTGCCAGGCTAACCCCGCCAGGTCCACCCCACCAAGTCCACCCCGCCAGGTCCACCCCGCCAGGTCCGCCCAGCGAGGTCCACCCCACCAGGTCCACTCCGCCAGGTCAACCCCACCAGGTCCACCCCACCAGGTCCACCCCACCAGGTCCACCCCACCAGGTCCACCCCGCCAGGTCAACCCCACCAGGTCCACCCCACCAGGTCTACCCTGCCAGGCTAACCCCACCAGGTCCACCCCGCCAGATCAACCCCACGCAGTCCACCCCACTCAGTCCACCCTTCCAGGTCCACCCCACCAGGTCCACTCCGCCAGGTCCACCCCACCAGGTCCACCCCACCAAGCCCACCCCACCAGGTCCACCCCACCAGGCCCACCCCACCAGGTCCACCCCACCAGGTCCACCCCACCAGACCCACCCCACCAGGTCCAGCCCACCAGGTCAACCCCACCAGGCCCACCCCACCAGGTCCACCCCGCCAGGCCCTCCCCACCAGGCCCACCCCACCAGGCCCACCCCACCAGGCCCTCCCCACCAGGCCCACCCCACCAGGTCCACCCCGCCAGGTCCACCCTACGAGGTCGCCGTGACATTTAGCTGCTTCAAATTAAAACCGATTTTCGGCAGTCGGGAAAAAAAAAACCCGAAGCCCAGTGGTTACGGCACATTTCACTGTCTCGCCACGCTGGTGTTGGTATAGATGAGCGGTGCTGTGGGTCCTGCCCTGTGAACCTGGCGACCCGGGTTCGAATGCCGGTCCCGTGTCTCTCGCCCCACTTTGCGAACCGGAACTGACCAGAGCGGTGAAGTATGGTCAAACAACCCCCGTGACCGACACGGCACCGTTGAGGCCTTCATTCAGCAGGCGATTGACAAAAGGGCGGTAATTATTATTATTTAAAACGTGCCAATTTCATTTAATCTCCCACGTTGCGTAATTAATACAGAACGCAAATGAATAAATTGGTTCATTATGCAGGAGTGGCGCTGCCACTCGCACCGATTGGCGACAGCGATTACACGGAACTCTTCACTCCACGCCCGGGGTGGCGGTGTGGGTGGGTGGGGGGGGCTCGGGCAGTGGGGGGAGCGGCGGTTCAGCGTCGTCCCCATCGTTGTTCAGGATGGCGGCCGCGAGAACGGGAGAGGGAAAGAACGTTCCTCGCGCGGTTTCTCCACGGCCGACCCCGCCGCTGCCCTCGTCCGTGACGGCCGCCGTGCGGCCCGGCTCCATCTGTCCGGAGGGGGGCGGTGGAGCGAAGCGTCAACTCTCATTACCCGACGGCCTCCAGCCCCCCCCCCCACCGGCAACCTCCCCCTGCCCCCCCCCTCCGCGGCTCCCCCCCCACCCACACCGGCTCACCCTGTGCTTCCGAGCGCCGCCGCAGTTATCACTTTTAATTACCTCCGCCGGGCTAATTAACGAGACAGATTGCTCCGTGCGATTAAGGGTCCCGCCAGTCAGCGAGACATTAAATTGTTCTCCGGGCGAACGCGCCGAACGCTGGCAGCAGCCGCCGATGTGGAGACTAAAATGAACGCGCGAGAAAGTGGCAATATGTTCATTACGGGTGCCGCGGGCCGCGCTCCCTTCGAGAGCACCGCGCGGATCTCGGCAGCACCGCGCCTCGTGGGAGCCACTTCTGTGGCCTCACCTGCGGGCCTCACCTGCGGGCCTCACCTGCGGGCCTCACCTGCCGAGAGCTGCGGGCCTCACCTGCCGAGCATCGTCTCCCTGTTGAGCCCGGTTTGTGCCGGGGCGACCGTTTGATTCCCGGTGCTGCGAGTGGAATTATCTTCATTTTCCTTTCTTCATCTTTTCCCGTTGAATTCCTCAGCAGCTTTTGCTTCCGGTGCAAGTGCAGGCGTGGTGGTGGGTATCACGGCGACGACGACGATGATGAGACTGATGATGATCTATGGGTTTAAGTCACACAGCAGGAGACGTATGGGAGATTTCCCCGTCACGTTGCTAGCGCCTCGGCCTGCCGCCCCCATGCCACCATCTCTCCGCTGTCAAAACACACAGAGAGAGAATCTTTTATTCGGCGCGGTGATGAAAGAAACCCAAATTCTGCTTGCGGGATAAAAAAAATGAATAACACAATAAATAATTAAACAGCGGTCACACAGCCAATCCCGAAATAGGTTGGCAGCATTATTAAAGTGGGAGGGAAACAATAGACAATTTTATATATTTTTTAAAGAAATGCCCATAATTCAAAACGCTGTGCCCCGGAGCGAGCAGTGTGACTGCTCGCTGGCTTCTATTTGTATTCCTCTCTCCGTGAGAGCTGCCGGGGTCCGCCGCCACCGCTCCGCGAGGAATCTTAGCGCGTGCTCTCCCCGCCTCTCACTGGAGCCCTTGTTCTTCTGCTGCTCGCAGCCCTGGGCAGAGGCACGTGAACTCGCCCAGTGACGGGCACCGCCCGCCCCGTCCCCGATGCGCACCCAGCCCCCCCCCCCACCTCCCATGTACCCCCACCAGCCCCCCCCTCCCATGTACCCCCCACCAGCCCCCCCCCCTCCCATGTACCCCCCACCAGCCCCCCCTCCCATGTACCAACCCCGCCACCCGCCCGCCTCGATACCTCTTCTTTCTCGCCGTCTCTGCGGCACGTGTCCCTCTGACGTGCTCTCACAAGTAAGAGGGGCACGCGACGGCTACCAGGGCTACTCATCGTCACGAGCAGTAGCAGCAGCAGCAGCAGCTGCTGCCCACTGTTCGATGAAGCCCCGCGCAGAAGCGCGACGGAGCGTTCCGTCTCCGCGGCGGGCGACACTCCGCGGTCCCCCCGGTCCCCCCCCCGTCCCCCCCGTCCCCCCCGTGCCCCCCGTCCCCCCCGTCCCCCCCGTCCACGTGCCCCGCCCGCTCACGTTCTCCGCACGCGGCCAGTGTGACGCCTCTGACTCGCGTTCCCTAATCCGCGTCGCGTTCCTCTCGCTGCCTCGTGGCGTACTCCCCGGCGTGCGCCTCTCCACACTTCTTTGAGAACTTTTCCGCGCCGCTTTTCCGATTTTGTTCCTCAACTCGTCCGCGTCTCTGATTCGCGCACCTGGGGGGAGCGCGACTCGCGCGCCGGGGCCCCCCGTTGGCAGCCGCGGGGCGGCGAGAGCCCCGTCGTGACGCTCGGTCGACACGCGCGGGGAATGGGAAGCGGGTGGGCAGCGCGGGGCGCTCTGCCCTCGTGGGCAGCGCCGCGGCAAAAACTCGGCGGCCTCCCTGCCGCCTCTCTGCCGCCTCTCTGCCGCCTCTCTGCCGCCTCTCTGCCGCCTCCTCTGCCGCCTCCCTGCCGCCTCCCTGCCGCCTCCCTGCCGCCTCCCTGCCGCCTCCCTGCCGCCTCCCTGCCGCCTCCCTGCCGCCTCCCTGCCGCCTCCCTGCCGCCTCCCTGCCGCCTCCCTGCCGCCTCCCTGCCGCCTCCCTGCCGCCTCCCTGCCGCCTCCCTGCCGCCTCCCTGCCGCCTCCCTGCCGCCTCCCCGCGGCCTCTCCGCCGCCTCCCCGCCGCCTCCCCGCCGCCTCCCCGCCGCCTCCCCGCCGCCTCCCCGCCGCCTCCCCGCCGCCTCCCCGCCGCCTCCCCGCCGCCTCCCCGCCGCCTCCCCGCCGCCTCCCCGCCGCCTCCCCGCCGCCTCCCCGCCGCCTCCCCGCCGCCTCCCCGCCGCCTCCCCGCCGACTCTCCGCCGCCTCCCCGCCGCCTCCCCGCCGCCTCCCCGCCGCCTCCCCGCCGCCTCCCCGCCGCCTCCCCGCCGCCTCCCCGCCGCCTCCCCGCCGCCTCCCCGCCGCCTCCCCGCCGCCTCCCCGCCGCCTCCCCGCCGCCTCCCCGCCGCCTCCCCGCCGCCTCCCCGCCGCCTCCCCGCCGCCTCCCCGCCGCCTCCCCGCCGCCTCCCTGCCGCCTCCCTGCCGCCTCCCTGCCGCCTCTCTGCCGCCTCTCCGCCGCCTCCCTGCCGCCTCTCCGCCGCCTCTCCGCCGCCTCCCCGCCGCCTCTCCGCCGCCTCTCCGCCGCCTCTCCGCCGCCTCTCCGCCGCCTCTCTGCCGCCTCTCTGCCGCCTCTCTACCACAGTCCCAGGAATGTTTTTTCAGGTTAATTGATTTCGCTGGACATGCGCTTGGGAGGGGGGGAGGGGGCGATATGGAGGTCGGTCCGATCTGAGAACAGACCGAGAGTGACCTCACATCGACCCCACAGGCCAGGTCATCGCTGTAGGGCTCGCTGCTCCCGAACACTCGATACGGGGGCAAGCGTTCCCACTTGCCCTCCGCCCTCGTCCCTCCTTACCTCTCGCTCCTCTCGTTGCCGCTCTCCATTTCATCTTCCGTCCCTCTCCCCCTCCGAATATCTGTCCCCCTGTTTTTCCCCCTCTTTGTCTTTCTCCCTCCATCCCTCCCTCCCTCCTCGCCCCCCCCCCCCCCGCCCCACGCCCGCGACCTCCCTCCCTCTCTGTGAATTGAGCCGCGTGGAGCCCTCAAAGAGCTCGCTAAATCTCGTTAAGGAGGGGTAACGGTAAATCTGCAGCCCATTACGCCTTGCCCCAGGGCCACTGGCAGAAGGCACCAATCCCAATCGCTATCTCCGCGCCGCAGAAGGCCGAGATATCGGGCCGCTCGCACCCGCTCGCTCGCTCGCTCCCTCGCTAAAAAGAAAAGATGGGGTGGCGGTGGTGGCGGTGGTGGCGGGTGGGTGGTGGGGGGCAGCAGCAGCAGGGGAGGTAGAGGCAAGATTTTGTGGATGTGTCCAAGCACAACAAGCGCGCCGCTGATGGCTGTCACGCCCTGGGTAAGCGTTCCTGTGCTCGCTGCGCGCGCCGCTGGAGCCCCGCCAAAGAAAACCCAAAGCCGCTTCAGCCTTAATTACACTTCCTGAGACCTGACAGATTTTTTTCCCAATTTCTACGGTAAAAACAATAAATGTAAAATCCCATTTTAAGACGTAGTTTGATGTGTTGGCATTTTTTTCCCCTTTCTTTCTTTCTTTCCGCAACCTTTATTTTTTTTTCATATCCCGGATTGTCACAACCCGTTAGGCGCCCGAGCCACGCCGAGCATCACGAGAATCGCGGTCGTGGCCACGGCGCGAGCGCGGATCGGCCACGAAGCCACCACGTTGCCCGACCCCACGAGCCGCTGCCGCCAGCGCCACCGCGCTCGGGCGTCGTGCTGGAAATGGCTCGCGGTGGTGGCAGCACCGGGCCTGCTCGCGGCGGAGACACGTGCCGTACGATGGACGCGGTTCTGGGCGTGCGGTCGAGACGCGTGGCACGGCACGTGGCACGGCACGTGGCACGGCACGTGGCACGGCGCGTGGCACCGCCGCTGCGCTCGCGAGCGCCCGTGGAGCGCTGCTGCTGCGGCGTCGGAGGCGCCCGGACCTGGCGACGGTGACGCTGCCTTGGTTTGCGCGAATGTGTCAAGCCGGGCCTCTTATTAACAGAAACAATTTAGTAAAACTGTAGAATGACCCCCATGTGTAATAATGTCATGGCGATGTGGAGGTTTTCACCGTGAGGTCACCTGATTTGTGGAACTGCGCATCCTGCACGCCCTCGCAAACGAGATGCTGCAGCTTCAGGGATGGTGAAATATCTCAATAAATAAATACAACTTCTAAATCTGTTCCGGGGCACGCGCAGGCGTCGCCCCTCCGTCCTCTCTGCTCGTTACCCGGTGCTGAGCCCCCGCACGTTTTGTCACGAGCTTCCATTTTCTTCTTTTGTTTTAAAACTGGCAGCGATCGGCGCAAACGCTGCCGGCGTCGTGGCCGCGCAGCGATGCCCGGCACGCGAGGGTTCACGTGCCCCGACTCGCATGGCCTCGCGTCGCTGTCGTCACTGTAGTTGTTGTCGTCGTTGTCGTTGTTGTTGGTTTAACTCCCACCGGTGAGCACGCAAGGTGCCTCCATGATTCGTCAATGCGCCCGAAAATTGCCTCGCTTTAATTTATTGGGGCGGAGGGTGGGTGGGGGATTGATCTCGTCGCGTAAGCTCGCGATAATCGGTACGGAAATTAAAACTGGTAAGCCAACTGTTTCGGATTTATTTAAACAATTTCCTGTCCGGCCCTTGAACAAATGCGCTCCTCTCGCCGTGCAGAACAGACCGTGTTATTACAGCAAACACGGCCCCGTACAATGGAGCGCTGATAATAGCAGTCGCAACAGCGCTCCTCGCAGCGCACCTCTTGTGAAGTGCAGAGCGAGAGAACGCACCGAGTGGCAGCGAGAGAGGCCCACCGCTGCCAGGGGGCCCGGACAAAGACTAACTCTGTTCGACTGTGTTGGATTCAATTAACGGCCAGGGGTGATTTTTCTTTGGGGGCGGCGGTACAGGGAGGAGGAGGAGAGTGCCGAGGGAGGTGGGGGAGGGAGGAAGGGGTGCTGGGCTCTCGTGAACCGAGGGCTGACGGAGCGCGGTGAATTTGAGGTTGGGACGCGAGGGAGGAGAACCGGGTGGCTCAGAGGCCGGAGGCACGAAACCAGGGCCGCTGGTTCCCGGTTCCAGTCCGGGTTTTAACGACCGCCCCCGATTAAACCGGGACCTCTCACGCGGCGAATTCATGTTCTCAGCCCGGTCACCGATGACTGCACAAAAACTCCATCTCGGAGAACTATAAATAATGGTTTGTCTGCCGTGCTACACACGGTACCCTGGTGGGCCGGTGGGGAAGTTCTGCCCCCTACTCTGTGGAACACAGGTCACTTGAAAGGACCTCAAAAAGTAGCTCTGTGATGTCCGCTTCCGTGGGCTGTTCTCTAACATTTTGTGAAGGGGGCGGGGGTGGTTCACACGACCGTGCAAGATTTCCAGATGGATTCTTCATCTCGTGCCGTGACGCCGAGAGCGCAGTTAAGATGCATTTGTGGAAAAGTAAAATTGGTCAAGGAGTGGTGGGGCGACGGGGGGAGGTCCGTGGCAGACGTGCGGCGCTGGATTGGGAGGTGGTGTTCTAACCACCGCTCGCGCTCGCACGGCGACTCGCATTCTGCTCGGTCTCACGTGTCCAGGAATGGATGTTAAAAATCCCCGCAGAAATATACGGTGTTTGTAAATAAATAAATAAGCGGCCTGCCCTGTTACAGGAACACGTGTTGAAAGAACAAAAGTGAGAGAAGTCGGCGCAGAGAAGCCTTCCGCGAGCCGCCGCTGCAGACCCGACAGCTCGTATTAAAATCTTTTATTTTATATTTTATATTTTTTTTGAGACGGGGAATTTTTTTGGCCGTGCCTGAAAATCGACGCCAACAGTTTTGTAGCGCGGCGCTGTCAGTCAGCAGCGGCACGAGGAACACGGAATTCATTCTCGGCCCGGCTCGGATTACCTCCGTTACACGTGTTGGCAATATTATGGTTCCTCGTGTTACTGTCGTGGGCTTTTATGTGCTGCTCGCCGTGCCCCCTAATGAGAATCGATCTCAGTATTTTCTTTGAAAAAAGGAAAGTGCCAAAACTTCTCGCCTAATGGCTTTGGGTTGTTAACACGTTTGGGAGATGTTTTGCTGGCCCACCCTAAGTGATTGAGTCATTCGCCCGCCGCCCGGCCCTCTCCAGGCCTCTAATCACGGCCGAAACGCGCCCCTCGAAACGGAACGCGTCGCAGCCGCTCTCGACGCTTGGACACTCGCGGACCTGGAAATTCCCAGCTCGGTTCCCGCGTCGTAATAATCCGCCGGCGGCGATGAGATGTTACGTGTATCCAACGTCGACACGGAGCCTTCGGGGTCCAATTTGCGATTGTCGGAGGTGGCGTTCTCGCGCTGCGAGATCGAACGAGCGACCCAACGAGCGCTGGCTGACGGACAGGGCACGTAGCGCGAGTCAATGATCCAGAAATTATATTGTCAGCACGAGCTGGCTTGGCAGCGCGGGCCCGAGCGTGGGGAGGGGGGGGGCGCACGTGCAGACGATGTGAACGTTTTCAGCGTCTCCGACGCTTGAGACAAATTGCCCGGCCCCGTTCTCGTTTCCACGGAAATACATCTCAGCCGGGCGGGGACCCTGAGCCCCGCGACCCCGAGTTCGATTCCAGGTCGTGACTGCCGCCGGTGGCCAGCGATAACCCAACCCGGCGGGGGGGAGGCCTCCCCCCGCGAGTCGCTTGAGGGAAACGCGCCGGAGCTTGTGATCGCCGCTCGACATCTCGTCGGCCCGCGCCGGGGGCGGCGTCGTTTTCAGGTTACGCGCAAACCCTCGAGTGTTGAGCGGTGACAGAGCGAGAGGCGCGTTCGCACCGCGCAGCTTGACGGGAGCCCCCCCCCCCACACTCCCCTCCCCCCACACGGCTTACAGACCCCCCCCCCCCCACGCAGCTGGACATTCACGTTCCTACCGAGAACGAGAACTCGACAAAAAAAAGACACCAATTTCCTGCTGGCCCTTTGCAATAACCTGCTCGCTGGCTCCCTCCCCCTCCATGCCCCCCCTCTTCTCCCCCCTCCTACCCCCTCCTCCGCCTACCCCCCCCCCGCTCCTCGTGCTTCGTTTAAGTTTCCGCTGCTCGGGGTTTGGCTGGGGGCGGGCACGAGGAGCGAGGGGCCGTCTCCTCCTCCTCCTCCTCGCTCTCCACGGCGCATGAAATAGCTTCTTGTTGTGCGGAACGGTGAGGGGCGGAGCGGTGACGGGGGGAGCGGTGACGGGGGGAGCGGTGACGGGGGGAGCGGTGAGGGGGGGAGCGGTGACGGGGGAGCGGTGAGGGGGGGAGCGGTGAGGGGGGGAGCGGTGAGGGGGGGAGCGGTGAGGGGGGGAGCGGTGAGGGGGGGAGCGGTGAGGGGGGGAGCGGTGAGGGGGGGGAGCGGTGAGGGGGGGAGCGGTGAGGGGGGGAGCGGTGAGGGGGGGAGCGGTGAGGGGGGGAGCGGTGAGGGGGGGAGCGGTGAGGGGGGGAGCGGTGAGGGGGGGAGCGGTGAGGGGGGGAGCGGTGAGGCACTCCCTCTCCAGTGGTACTTCTCTGGAGTGAATGCGCCCTGGTGGATGTTATTATGTCGCAATTGGATTTTTCTACCGGGGTTTGTCTCTCTCCCCGCTCTCTCTCTCGCTGTCCCATTGTTGTTTTTCGTTTAAGGGGGAGGTCGGCGCTTGCCCGCACTACGCTACCCGCACTACGCTACGCGCACTACGCTACCCACACTACGCTACCCACACTACGCTACGCACACTACGCTACGCACACTACGCTACCCACACTACGCTACCCACACTACGCTACGCACACTACGCTACGCACACTACGCTACCCACACTACGCTACGCACACTACGCTACCCACACTACGCTACGCACACTACGCTACCCACACTACGCTACGCACACTACGCTACGCACACTACGCTACCCACACTACGCTACGCACACTACGCTACCCACACTACGCTACCCACACTACGCTACCCACACTACGCTACCCACACTACGCTACCCACACTACGCTACCCACACTACGCTACCCACACTACGCTACCCACACTACGCTACCCACACTACGCTACGCACACTACGCTACCCACACTACGCTACACACACTACGCTACGCACACTACGCTACGCACACTACGCTACCCACACTACGCTACGCACGCCACGCCGCTCGTGCATCCAACGGCTCGTGGGGGGGGGGGGTTGGGGGTGGGGGGAGGTGGAGCGCTGGTGGGGAGGGGGCTGTGAGGAACGTCAGAATGTGAGCTGCCGCATTCCTGCCCCTAATTACGCGCGAGGTGTCAGGCGTGTGATGGGGGCTGGACCTTGCCCACGCTCGCGTTCGGCGGCTCTGCACTGACCGGAGCTGACAGCGGAGAGCTGAAATCAGCGCGCACACGTATCGCCTCTCATGGCACTCTCCCTCGCTCCCTCGCTCACTCACCCACCCACCCACCCTACCTCTCACTCGCTCACTCACCCACCCTACCTCTCACTCGCTCACTCGCTGACTTTCCCTCCTTTCAAGTCAATTAAAAGCTCGGTAATGGCTCAAGAGCTGCTGGGTAGCTGACCCCATCACCCCCTCCTCCCCCCTCCTCCTCTCCCCTCCTCCTCCTCCTCCTTCTCCTCTCTCCTCCTCGTCGTCGACGTCGTCTGCCAACCAGCCCAGGCACTAAAGCCGCACATGGGGAGAGGAAGGTGCGCAGTGAAGGGGTGTGGGGTGGTGAGTATGGGTTGTGGGGTGGTGAGTGTGGGGTGCAGCGTGCGGAGTGCAAGGTGGGGGGAGCGGGACGAATCCTCTAACGATTCTTGAATCGTGACCTTGAATCATTGCAATTCTTGGAATCGTCAGAGGGGGGAGGAGGTGAGGGGGTGACGCCCCAGGCCCTTGTCGCGAGATGACTCCACGGGGACGTCACCACACCCTTCCAAGGCGCCGTCCCACGCCAGCGGTGCCGCCGCTTCTGCGGTGGCCGTGAGGCCGCATTGTCGCCCCCAGAGCGCGGTACAACCGCACACGTGACCGTAACTTTAAAGTCCTTTTTGTCATTGACGAAGTCTCCGACAACACACGCTCGTGTGTTCCCCCAGCTGATGAGTAGCCCTGGGTCAGGGTGAGGGGTGAGGGTCAGGTGAGGCTCTACGTTGGTGAGGATGGGACCAGACGTCAGAGGCAGCGGGCGCCGTTGAGACCCTGGGCACCGGCCACTGCCTGTGATCGAACCGGGTTCTCAAGTTCAGCGAGTTGATGGCCTCAGCCTGGTCACCGACGACTGCACAACTAAAATCCATCACGAGAAATTTGATCCCGTTGTTAATCTCGTTACATTTCAGCTCGGTTGTGTTTTGCGAGGCCGGTGCCTGCCCCTTGGATGCGTGTGGACCAAAGGTCACTCGAAGGCATCTCAGGGACAGCTCGCTGATGTCCGCGGGCCGCTCTCCAGCCTGAAGGGGGGTGGGTCGGCCCTGCCCGGTAGCAGGCGACCAGGCCACATGCGACTAGGCAGCAGGCGACCAGCAGGCGACCAGGCATAACGACGCTCGCTGTCCGTTGCTCGTCACGAGAGGGCTCTCTCCGCCCCTTCGCCACGGAGTCGTCAGCTCACCACCGGGCCACTTGCTCGGCGCTCAGAGTTATTTTTGGGAGCGTGTTCAGAGTCGGAGGGCGACTGGGGGAAGGTGAAGGGTTTTGTGGGGGTGAAGCGAGGGGGGGGGCGCGTTCAAAGCGCGGCGGCACTAGCGGCCGGGCAAGCGAGCGAGGGGCGTGTGGGCGAGGGCACGGGACGAGGGGGGTGGAGCGTGCGGCCGCGACGGGAATGCGAACTCGGGAGGAGGGAGGCGCAGAGGGCAGGGCAGGAAATGGGTCCTGAAGGCTGCTAAGTGGAGGACCCATGTGGAGCTGATTTGTCCGCGCTCTGCGCGTCGCCTGAGCGGCGATCGCAAGCGTGGGCCGTTACCACGCTCCCCAGCGTGTGTGCGTGTGTGCGTGTGTGTGTGTGCGTGTGTTTGTGTGCGTGTGTTTGTGTGCGCGCGTGTGTTTGTGTGCGCGCGTGCGTGTGTTTGTGTGCGTGCGTGCGTGTGTTTGTGTACGTGCGTGTGTTTGTGTGCGTGCGTGTGTTTGTGTGTGTTCGTGTGTGTGTGTGCGTGCGTGTGTACGTTATTGACCTGGTCAAGGCCTATGATACCTTCAGTAGGCCTGGGCTCTGGGTTGTTCTTCGTGCTTTCGGAGTCCCTGACCCACTGCTCACGATCATTAAGGACCTTCATGATGGTGAGCGGGCCCGGGTAAAACTACGTGTCAGGGAGTCGGAGACATTCCCTGTTCACTTTGGAGTGCGACAGGGATGTCCTCTGGCTCCTACATTATTTAACATCTATTTAGACCACGTAGTTCGTGAAGCCTTCAATAACTGTACCCGAGGAATGTCCATCTGGTACAGATACAATGGGAGGCTGATCGATGCCCGGGTGCGGTCAAGGGATGGCTCCCTATTGCTCAACCATGTTATATATGCCGATGAGCTGGTTAATTGCTGCTCACTCAAAGGAGGAGTTGGAGGCGCTGCTGCTGAACCTAGAGTGTGCCACTAAAAGGTGGGGCCTTACCATCAGCCCCACCAAAACTAAGCACCTGCCTGGGTATTTTGTACCATCGGACGCTCCACCCCCACAAATCCAAATTAGTGATGGGGCAGTTGTGGAGAGTTTCTTATACCTGGGCAGTGTGCTCATGACCAGCTCCGGTTTGACAGCAGAGGTCTCACTCCGAATTATATTTTCTTCGGTTGCGTAATGCTGTGTGGAAGCTACCTGGTCTGTTTATCCGCACGCACGAAGCTTCAGGTCTTCTCGGCCACAGTCATTCCCTCCCTTCTCTACGCTTGCAAAACGTGGACCCCCCTAGTGGAACATCTTTGCCGGTTAGAAACATGTAGGCTGACCTCCCTACAATCCATTTTGGGTTTAAGCAGGCTGGATTGTGTGAGGAGCTCACATATCCTTGAAAGATCTGGACAAAGTCCCATCGGTGAGCTCCTCCGGCAGGCAAGGCTGCGTTGGCTGGGTCATGTAGCCCGCATGCACAGCCACCGCATGCCTAAACAGCTTTTGTTCGGCCGGATCGAGGGGGCTAAACGGGCGTGGCACGGGCTAGAGAAGAGATGGAGTGATGTGGTACAGGAGGATGTGGAGCTGAGTGGACTTGCCGATGACTGGTACCAGCGGTGTCAAGATCGGCCTCTGTGGAGGAGGCTAAAGCACAGCAAGTTATCACAGGGGGCACAGGTGGTGCATCAGCTAGTCACCTCAGTCGACCCGTGGCACCTAGGTCTGCCCCGTGACCTCCTGCCAGCGGGCGTGGCCTCAACGTGCACATGGCCTGGCACAAGCGTCGTGGTAACGTTACCGCCACTTAGTGGCGAATGGCGGTTGTTGTTGTTGTGTACGTGCGTGTGTGTGTGCGTGCGTCTGTGTATATGTGTATATGTGTGTGTGCATGCGTGCGTGCGTCTGTGTATATGTGTGTGTGCGTGCGCTTGTCCGGAACATTCGGCTCGGCAGGGGGCTCGGGGCGCGAGCGGTGGGGTGTGGGGCGCGTCGTGAATTGTGTTCACGCTGCACTGTGGAAGCCCTGCAAGCCACTGGAGGCGCTACACTCGTCACAGCGGCAAACTCGAATGTGATTATTGCTTCAACTTGCGTGTGAATCGTTGCGCAACTACGACGTTATACATCGCAGGGTCGGCAGCTCGCGGGTACCCGCGTCGAGTCGCGAGCCTCGGGTCGAGGCTGGTGTGTTCTCATCAGCAGGCCGCTCGAGGCGCTGCCAAGGTTAAGAGGAGAATCTCAGGTCTCGCAAGCCAAGCTGGTGTTGAGCCTGGATAGCACCTGAACGAGTGACCACTTTGCGTAACGGGCGCTATAGGCTCCTGCGTAGCTACGCTGCCAGCAGCGAGTGGCGCGATCCACAGTGACACCGCACCTCGTTGATCCCCCCGACATCCGCACGGATCCCAACACCCCCCCCCCCCCCCCCCCGCGAGACGCACAGCTCACCTCGGCCGCCGCGACGACGCGAGTTGACGCCCCTCCCGTTCCGTCTTCTCCCCCCCCCCCCCCCCCTCTGCACACCTCGGCAGATGATGGGAATCCTGGGCAACCCGTCGGCCATGCCCCCGCAGCACGGGCAGGAGTACTCGCTGTCCCCGCTGCCCTCCTCCGGCCTCGTCGACCACTCCTCGGGCCTCTCCGCCAGCTGCAGCCAGCGCGGCGGCGGCGACGGCATGAAGCACGATGGCAGCGGCCTGCCGCCCTCCCAGGCCTACTGCCCCGCCACCTACGCCGCCGCCGGATACGGCCTCGAACCCATGCCCGCCGCCTACCAGTACAGCCAGTACGGACAGAGTAGGTACTGCCACCACTACCACCACCGCTGTCACTGCCACCGCTGGACGCTGCCGCCCATGAGGCGGGCGGCGGCGGCGGCAGCTTGTGTGTGTGTGTGTCTGTGTGTGTCTGTCTGTATCTGTGTGTGTGTCTATCTGTGTGTCTGTGTGTGTGTCTGTCTGTGTTTGTGTGTGTGTGGGGAGTGGTCGTGCAGGGGTTAGCGCGTTGTGCTGCGAACCCGGCGACCCGAGTTCAATTCCCGCTCACGGCCAACACGACTCAGCCTCAAATGAGTACCTTGTGCGGTGTGTAAACATCGTCACTGGGGAGACAAAGGCGGTCGGGCGTGGCGCTGGGCACCCATCCCCCCATTTGCCATGCCGGCCTTCATAGGTGCTCGCTAAGAGCACTTGCCCCAAGAGTCTGTTAAAGGGTTTATATGGGGGACATTTGTCTTTGTGTAGGTGAGTAGAGAAATGTGTGTATGAGCTGAGTCTCCAATGTGGGTTTGAGATTCGGCCACGGCTAACATCAGTTGCAAGTGAAATCTTAACCAGTTCTGAGTCTCCCTTGGGTAAACTGAGCCTTAAATGAATACCTGCTGTGCTGTGTAAACATTAGCACAAGGGTGACGAAGGTGACGGTACACGCTGCTGCCCACACCACCCTCTCGTAGGTGCTCGCTAACAGCACGTGCCCTAAAGAGGGGATGGTTGCGTGTGTGGGGAGCGGCCAATGTGGTTCCCGCACCGATTCCGTGGCCAGGGGCATGCCGTGGCCACCCCCTTCGGCCTTTTCTCCAGCGGCGCGGCCTAAACGGTCGGACCGTGGAGACAAAGGGGCCAGGCGTGTGTCTGCGCTGCCCCCACTTAGCCCCCGTGTATTCTGCCAGCCTTAAGGGGCGCTCGCTAACAATGCTTTGCCCCAACAGGATACAAAAAGGGCTTAACTCAGGCCCCTTTATCTCTGAGCGTCGATGATATTGTTTTGCTCGGACGCGAATTCGTAGGCTCACCTCTTCATCCCACAGGCACCTCGGTGCTACCAGCGGCAATTTGGCCCTGCAACTATGATCATGAATAGGAACGTTTTGGGCTCCGGAACTCTGCTTACTCGCTGATTCGCTTGCATTGAACCAAGCTGTGAATAAAAAAATTTGACGAAAAAAGTCGCATAAACAAACCGATAAACATAGTTTAAATGATTTGACGAAATAAGTACATTTCGTTCCCGAGTGCCGACGATAGCAGCGACAGTTGTAATAATAAGAATAATAAAAGCGCAACAAAAACCTCTCCCTTTCTCCCGATAAAGAAGAAAGGTTTTGTTAAGACGGCTATTTTTCAGGCCCTGTAACCTTGTGAACCCGTCCTATAAGATCACTTCCAACCCCGGCAGCGTGGGCCTCTCCTCTCCCCTCCTCTCCCCTCGCTCGCCCAGTGATGTCACTCACCCCCTCGCGACCCCCGGGCAGCCCGGGGAGCCGAGGTCAGGGGGTCGCGTGGGACGCACAAAGGCCCTGAAAAGGGGGCGGCCCCCTGCGGAGCGTGGGCCGAGGTGGAGGCCACGGGAGGGGGCGTGTTTAATGAACTCTTGGAGGAGTAGTTTATCAGGCCTAACGGAGCGCCACAGGAGCCGCCGCTTCCTACTGATGCATTGTGCCCGCCGCGCCACAGGTCAATTAATAATTGGCCTCCTCGTGGGGTTTAAACTGGCTTAACTTTTCTTTCTTCACAGTTAGGTAAACATTTTTTATCAACAAAAAGAGAAAGAAATATAGAGCTTTACTCTTTTCGCGGCTAAGTTCACGGGCTCGTTCCTCTCTGCCCCCGCCGTCTCTCTGCTTAATTCCCGACCTCAAAGAGCTCCTTCTGCAGTAATTCCTTAAATAGCCAAGCGTTGAGTTTGTTTTTGAAAGGCTCGGCGCTCGGGACTGCGAAATCCCGGCATCTGTGCGCGCCCGCCGCGGCGGACGTGCGGCCCGGCTTCATGACGAGACCGCCGCCCCCACCGGCCACCTCGTGGTTTTTTTTTTAAAGAAACCACAGCTCTCAAAACTTATTTTGCATTCCTGTGTTTCACATTTAATTTCCTTGGTCACAAGGACTCGAAACAGCGGTGAACCTTTTAGCCACAAATGCCGTCCCCGCGTTCATCTTTACCCCAAAATCCCCCACGCATTTCTCCTCGAGACTAATGCGCGGGTAATGTTTCATAGTTTTGTAAATTCATTTACGCGGGGTCCTTTTTATTAAAATCTTTTTCCCCTCTCTCCCCCCCCACCTCCCTGGCTTCTGTTCCGCAGCTGCCGCTGACTACTTGGCCAAGAACGTGGGCCTGGGCAGCCAGAGGCGGCTCAAGCTCGGCGAGCACTCGGCCGTGCTGGGGCTGCTGCAGGTGGCGGAGACGGGGCAGGCCTACTAGACGGGGCCATGCGCTGCCACCCCCCGCCGGCACCTCGTCCGCCCCGACCCGCTCCTCCTCGCTCCCTCGCTCGCTCGTTCGCTCGCTCGCCCGGCCCCCGCACGCCTCCGTGCCGCTCGCCCGTAACTCGTCCGCCGGAGAGCCGCGCGCAAGGACGCCGCTCCGGGCTGCTCCCTCCGAGTTCCTCGGTTCTTTTCGTCGTCGGTGTTTTTAATTCGTCCATTCCTGCCGTGTCACCGGGCAACGTTTAGCAGAGGCGCCGGCGCGGGCCGCCCTCCCCGAAGCTCCCGAGTGACGACCTCGTCTCGGCGGCGCACAGGTGCCCATTCCAGTTCGCAAGCCGTGTGCATTTTTGAAAAATTCAGACATTCCCAGCCACGGCGTCTCCTCACTCCAGTGAGCGTGGGGCAGTGTGCTCTTCTCTGCCGATGGCTTTGAGCCGTTGGTGGAAATTCCACATTCCCGGGGCAGGTCCCGGTCTATCGAAATGGTGACCAATTATTCACTTCCCACAAAATCAATGCAGAACGTAACGCAGCTTCTTTACCCCCGAGCAGTCCCCGGAAACTGCCGGACCAAACGTGGGCGACCGACGCCGGGCGCTGCGAACCTCTCCCCCCGCGGCGCTCGGTCGACCACACGCCACCCCGGGGGAACTCGGCGACGCGCCTGTTGGCGTAGAGAACCCACAGGTCCCACCCTGCCACTACCACCTGTGATGATGATGATGATGGCGATGGTGTTGGCTCGTTGGACAAATAATGACAGGGACAGCCGACGCTCCGTGCCGAGAGGGCGAGATGCTATCCGTGTTACCGAATAGCAAAAGAAAAACAGAAGCAAACATTTACGAAAATAAATAAATTTAAACAAAAAGTTGCTCGATATGATGGCTCAACGCAGTTGGAGATTTGCATCAACAGTTTGAGAATGAAAGAGGGCCTTGAGAAGAAATGTTTTTTAGACGAACATAGCTGAAGGCGCCACCGCGTGAATCGGCGTGAAATAGTCGCCGAGGCGGCTGCACCGCGTCGCCAGAGGAGGAGCCTCATCAGAATAATTCCCATTACACACCTCCTCTTATCGCTTCTGCGCCATCGGGCGGGCGGGCACACGCCACGTCTGAAATACTGAACGCCTGTCGAGCGAGCGTCGCCTGGAAATGGAACTTTCGGCGAGCGGCCACAGACCGCCTTCGCCGCGTCGCGGCCGGCCGGCCTGCAGTCGGCGCTCACGGCGTGCGCCGCCTCTCCCGCGGACCAAGCCCTGGACTACTAACTTCTCAGCCAGCCTCGTCGCACGCCGGCCAATTTGGTTGAGAGTTGTTCTTCCGCTCGCGTCGCTAAACGCTTGCGCGCACGTGCCGATGTCATGTGTTTGGCCGTGTCGGGTGGCGGAGGGCCTTTTGACACGAATTTGTGCAAACATTTATTCTGTATTGGCTGCAACAACAAACAAATTACCCTTGCTTAAACGCGTAAAAAGGTTCAACGCGGCGTTACCGGCGCCACATGTCGGTACTAATCAGTTTCCTGCCGCCCGACGCACGGTGCCAATCCGCGGGTTGTCCGTGTCGAGCCTGGATGGGTGGCGGACCGAGCTTACGCCCTCCCCGCAGCGTCCACGATCTTCTCACTGCCGGTTCCCTTTCCCGATCGCCGACCAAATTGGGGTGTCGTTTGGGAGCGAGCTTGGGGGTTTTTATTCTGGCCACGATTCTGACCGCGCCACACAGCGGGCAGGTTTCGCTCACCGGGAGAGAGCGGTGGGCACGTCGTTACCTCGTTAACCCTAACGAGGTAACGAAATAACGACGAGCGGGCGGCCCGGCTGTCGGAATGCGTGGAGGTGGGAGAGAGAGAGACGCTCCTGGAACCGGGCGCTCCGCTCTGCATCGCCCGGCGGGGTGTAAGACGTGGAGCTGTTCAGCTTTTTCATTCCATTTACCGAGCGTCCAATATTTTATACGCTGTGTGTGTGTACGTGTGAGCACGCGTGTATATACACAGTGCGTATATATGTATGTGTATGTACATATGTATACAGCATATGCGTACGTGTGTACATGTGCGTCTGTGTACGGTATATCTATACACGCGCGCATAGCCAAGGTGCCAATGTGGTATGTTTTGAACGTATAAACATTGGTGGTGGAACAACAACAAAAAACGTCGTTTGAGAAAATCACAAAAAAAAATCATCCGAATTTTTCTCCTCGGACGGCCGCCTGCGGTGGCGTGGCCCCGAGTGGACCAACATCGCCACCGCCACTGTCGTGGGGCATCCCAGGGAGTTGCTCTCCACCCCGTGGAGATTCGCGCTCTTCCATTCTGGAGTGGGGGAGGGCGGAGGCCAGCGTGGTCCGGGTCTGGTTCACTGACTCATCTCGTGTTGTTGTGTGCTCGGGTTCAGAGGCATTTAACGGAACGAGATCCAAAATGACTTCTGCCTCGGTGAATGGGGGAGCGTGTTGTTTTTGTTTGTTAGCGTTTGTATGTGCACAAAGACAAAGATCTCGCGTATAGACTTAGCAGACTGTTGGGGCAATTGCTAACTTTTGAAGGCTGGCACGGTACACAAAGGGGTGGTTGGCCAATTGTCTCCATTCGTGGCGACGTTTACACACCGCACCAGGTACTCATTTGAGGCCGAGTCGACCTAGGGGAGGTCCAGGACCGGTTCAGATAATCGTCACTGGTGTTGTCCGTGAACGGGAACCCATCCCCTCGTGTGCCGTGCCCGCATTCATAAGCGCTGCTCGCTAACAGCACTTGCCCCGACAGTTTACTGAGGCCACACGGGGGATCTTGTCTGTGTCTGTACGTACACGCGTGCGCGTTCCTCTGTTGGAAGTCGCCGCGAAGCTGCCCCCACTTCGCCAGCCTCGCGTCTCGGAGCGGCGACATCCCTCCTCCCTCGTGGCACCCACCGCCTCTTGTGAGATATATAAATAATAAAGACAACATCGCTGGTTCTAATTCCTTACGGAACCTTGGGAGTTCCGCTGTCGAAACCGCAGCGAGACAACGTGAACCTGTATTTCCATTTGTTACAAAATTATTACCAATTTTGGATGATGATATTATTATTGTAAAAGTTCCTTTGATGCGGCTAGCAACAGCTTTTAGAATGTATAGAGGCGTTACTTTGCAAATGTACAACAATGTTGTTGTCCCGTGGGACTTGGTGGTGTGTCCACACGCTGCGCACAGGAGGAGCGAGGTGGGTGAATTCCCCCATCCGAACTCTGCCGCAGTCCCGCGTGCGGTAGCGAGACACACGGCCCGTGACGTCTCCGATGTCCCGCCTGCGCGTGCGTGTGTGTGTGTGCGTGTGTGTGTGTGCGCGTGTGTGTGCGCGTGCGTGTGCGTGCGTGTGTGTGTGCGTGTGTGTGTGCGCGTGCGTGCGTGCGTGTGTGTGCGTGCGTGTGTGTGTGCGCGTGCGTGTGCGTGCGTGTGTGTGCGCGTGCGTGCGTGTGCGTGCGTGTGCGCGTGTGTGTGCGTGTGTGCGCGTGTGTGTGTGTGCGCGTGCGCTCTTCTTTTATATTTGTTTTGCTCGTATTGTCCACTCCCGAGATTCGGCGAACGACCTTGGTGACACTGTAAAAGTTGTAAGTAAATATACTGTATGAAACAGAGACAAACACTCCACGCGTGTGACGTCTTTCGGCACACCACAGGGGGGTGCCGATGGCCACCCTACTACGCCCGTGTGGGGGTGATTTCTGGGGGGGGGGCTTATTTAAGAGTGATTAGTGACTGCCGCTGCGATGGACATGGACCATGCCGGTTATTATTTGTGTGTTTTTCTTTGACCGTTTGTACCGAGGTGAGACCGCCGCCCCCCGTGCCCCCCCCCCCCCTTGCCCCCCCCCCCCCCGTGCCCCCCGCGACACAAGAGCCGTGATTCCGTCTCGCTCTTTGGCGTCATCCAAACGGAATCTCACCGACCCCGGCTCCACGTGTGCCCCCCACTGCCCCCTCCCCCCCCCCCCATAATCCCCACCCCCCCTCCCCCCGCGCCGTGCCTGTACATATATGTCCCTGTAATTTATTCCGTGTTGCTAGATGGTGTGTGTATAGCAAGCTGCACTTGCATCCCGGCTCCGCCGTCCGTCCGTGCGCCCCCCACGGCCTTGCCCCCCCCCCTCCTCCTCCTCGCCGCTGGTAGCTGCTGCTGCCGCCGCTCTCGCGACGACATCACGGGGGTGTGGGGGGGGGCTCCCCCCCGGGACCCCCCCCCCCACCCCACGCCTCTGTTTCTCTGTAAGCCCCCCTCCCGCCCTGTCCACCACCCCTCTCCGCGTTCACAAATAAAAACCAAGTCTTAAGCATCGACCAAGTGGAGTCTCTCTTGGGCTGTTTTGTTGTTGTGGTTCTCATCGCGTGTCTCCTCGCATCATCGTTGACATCAGCAAGGAGCGCCTCATCCGTCGGTCCCAATGAGGAATCGCAGACCGCCTCGAGCCGTCTCCCTCGCCACGGCGAGCAGAACCTCAACATCGGTTGGCATCGCGCTCCTCAAACCCTGAACTCGCTGCAGCTTCTGCAGCAGCTGCTGCTGCTGCTGCCATCACGCACACGAATAGACGTGCAGCGCGCCGTGTTTTTGTTTTCATTGCTACAGAAGTTCGTGGTTCAAAGTCCGGTGGCCGACCTGGTTAATACTGCGCTGGTGCGTTAACCGAAACAACATCACCACGCGCCGTCTGCCTCGCAGTGCGCCGTAAAGATCCCGTGAGGTCGTCTTACACAGGTGTCGTGGTTCAGAGAACACCGCATCGCTCTAGAAAAATAAAAAAAAAATATCTGCTCATCACCACTCAATAGCGCCCCCCTACTACGCAACGTGTCATCTTCGGGTGAGACTCGTGCTTGTACGACTGCCGACGAACTGTACTTAAATATCACCGTGGTTCGGTGACAGTCCAGTTGGGCCCCGTAGCAGCGGCGCTGGGAACTGCGTTGGGGTTGGAAAGACCCCGATGCAGCCTGGACCAGACGATTGGGGCACTTCCGATTAGCACGGCTGGCTACGTAGGTCTGCCCAGTGCTGATGTTTGCACATCACACCAGGCACTACATTTGAGGCTGAGTCGACTTAGGGGAGGCCCAGGGACCAATTCAAATATTCGCCGTGAGTGGGAACTCGGGTCGCCGGCAAAGCGAATTGCGATAACCACTGCACCACCTCTCCCGACCATCGACACGCGCAGACGCGCTGTCACAGACACGCCCGCCCGCCTGCATCTACCTGGACAAGCACAGATGCATTCCAACGCAGAGAGAGACTCACCCGACCATCGTGTTGTTAGCGAGCAGATATCACGACACACACGCTGTACACACAGACACGCATATATGTACTGAAACAGACACAACGACACCAACTGCTCCCTTCGTGACGGCGACATCACTACGAGGCCACGAGACAGACCCAGGTGTTCTGGGTTGACTGACCGAGATGACTGGCAATGCCAGCAGACACAACCAAGAGAAAGATCCCCCGTGTAGGCTGAACAGGCTGCTGGAGTAAGTGCTGTTAGCGAGCACCTATAAAGGCCGGCACAGCACACGAGGCGGTGGGTGGCCAGAATCACTCCGCCTTTGTCTCCCCAATGCTTTGCTTTACACATCGCACCAGGTACTTGTTTGAGGTTGAGTCGACCTAGGTGTGGTCCAGGACCGGTTTAGATTTTCGTCACCAATATTGACCGTGAGAATCAAACTCGGGTCGCCGGGTTTCGTAGCGCAACGCGCTCACCGCTGCACTACCGCTCCCCACACACAAACAAAGACAAAGGTCCTCCGTATAGCCTGAACATAGTATTGGGGCAAGTTTTGTCAGTGAGTGCCGACTCAAGTCTGGCACGGCCCACGACAGCGTCGGTGTGGCTAGAAGCACGCCCAGTGCTCATGTTTACACTCGTTTAAGGCCAAGTCGACCTACGGGAGGCCCATGACCGGTGCAGATTTCATTTGGCACTGACGATAACCGTTCTCAGGAACAGAACTTTCTATCGCCGGGGTTTGTCGCACGATGCGCGATCGGCTACGCCACCATTCCCCACACCGTATTCAGACAGACACACAACCCTACACAGAAGCACCCACGTGCAAATACAGACACACATGTGCGCATATGGAAAGCTACGCAGACACACAGAAAGACTCGCATGCATATATACACAGATACGTACACAGATACAAAAGACAAAGATCCCTCGTATAACCTCAACATAATGTTGGGGCAAGTGCTGTTAGCGAGCACCTATGAAAGCCGGAACGGCACACGAGGGGGTGTTGTGGCCAGCACCACGCCCGACTGCCTTTGTCTCCCCAGCGCCGATGTTTTACACACTTCACCAGGTACTCATATTAGGCTGAGTCGACCTAGGAAAGGTCTAAGGTCGGATCATATCATTGTCACCGGTGTTGACCGTGAGGGGGAATCAAACTCGGGTCGCCGGGTTCGTAGCGTGGCGCGCTACCGCTACACGACCGCTCCCCACATATCCATACAAGATACAGACACACAGATACACAGACACACAGACACACAGATACACAGACACACAGCCACACAGATACACAGACACACAGATACACAGACACACAGATACACAGACACACACAGACACACATAGATACACGGATACAGATAAACATAGACCAGGACCATCGTCACAGCGATGGCCACGGTGGAAACTCTACGCGGGCCTCTTTCTCACGAGAGGGGAGGCGAGAGAGGCCGCATCCCGGGACGCATTATTTATTTATTTTGCGCAACAACAACAAAAAAAACCTCACGGAGCCGAAGAGCGTCGATTTAGCAGAGCGCGAAGTAAGGATCTGACATCCACCACCATCGCCCCCCCCGCCCTCTATCCGCACAGCTGTTGCTGAGAGGCGCTGGCTCTGGCTTTGTGTGCTGCCAAAGAGCCCCGATTCTCCGCGCCCCCGTGAAGCAGGTGTCCCGGACACGTCGCCCCCACGATTAGGCGGCGGGATCCGCCGGAAAGGAGAAGCCAGGGCGAGGCGCGCGCCGCCGACTCGGGGGGGGGGGGGGACGATTGCGGACAGCTACGAGGGGAAATTGCCGAGACTGGAATGTCTGATTAGGGATGAGGAGCCGCAGATGACAAATTCAATTTTGCGCACGCGGCCGAGGCGTGGGAGGGAGGTGCGAGCCACGGGCTGACGACGGCGGCGGTGGGAACTCCGCAGCCGAGATGAGGGAGAGAGACGGAGAGAGACAGAGAGAGAAAGACAGGGAGAGAGACAGGGATAGAGACAGGGAGAGACAGAGAGAGAGAGAGAGGCGGCAGGAGCTGATGGCTGATCGACACGAGCGAAGATGCACTCAGACGCAAGGACGGACAGACAGCCTCACGCACGCACGAGTACTTAATAGACTCAAAGGCAAATGTCCCCTGCATAGCCTTACCGCACTGCAGGGGCAAGTGCTGTTTGCGAGCGCCAATGACTGCTGGCACGGCGCACGATGGGGTGAGTGGCCAGAACCACGCCCCCGGTCGCCTTTGTCTCCCCGGTGGCGATGTTCACACAACGCGCCGGGTACTCATTTGAGGCTGAGTCGACCTATGGGCAGGCCCCTGGGTAGGTTTAAATTGTAGTGGCCGGGAATCGAACCCAGATCACGGGGTTCGTGGCGCAGTGCGCCAGCCCCTGCACGCTGACTGACACCGACACACAGAGACATTCACAGCGAATCACAGATACAATCACAAACATTCAAATGCACGGCTATGACTCAACACACACAGGCCGTAACTAGACACAGGCACACGCGTGGATACAGACACCCTTACAGACACACGGGCATACATTACATACACACAGACAACACACACATCGGGTCTGTACCACATATACACGCTTAACAGGCACACACGAATACACTCAAACACGTAAACACACACACACATACATAAACACCTCTCCACATAGACACACATAGGCACACGTACACACGTACGCATGCGCACAGAGAGACACACTAATATACACATAGACACAATCACGCAATACACATCGACAAAGCACACACGCAAACATGAAAACAAATAACAATCACTTACACATACATATAACACACAGACACCACGCTGGTTCCATAAATATAGCACACAAATGCATATAAATATAACACACACATAGACATAGCACATGGACAAAACATACTTATAATACACACACCAGACTGCCTTCATAAATATAACACACATAAGTATAACACACACACATCAATATAACACACATACATATAACACACATGTACAACACATACATGTAACTCACATACACATATATGTAAACATAACACAGCCAAAGATCCCCTGTTTTACGCTGAACGGACAACTGGGGCAAGT